AGTTCATCGTTAAAGGTTGTAAAAACTGAGCTGAACTGAACGGATGGTAGCTCAACAATTAGGGTGTTGTGCGCTACATGATCGTGTGTTTGCACGTATGTTTGAATCCTATTCCTAGTTTGATAGTTGACTGGCACGGTTCTTACTGTGGTGCTTTGAGTTTAACAGACGACAAAAGACAATCAGAATGCTCCCGTGATCGATGGCACATAACCAGTCTGTCTGTCCGTTGTTCCTGTTCACCAATCAGATTTGGTGACAAAAATTGACCCACTTTGAGTCCGTGAACATCTGTTCTCATTCCTCGTCCCGTAAACAAACGGTATTCATCTGATGGGTGTGTGTCAGTTGAGTCCGCTTAGACGCTACCATCAAATGGACAAAGTTGACACTTCTCAGGCAAACTGTGACCCCGCTGAACCTATATGTCGTAACTGCTGAATCTGTCAACTCGATTGATCACCGATTTTTATGCAATACATTTGTCCAGTACACACGATTATCAGTGTATCAGGTTTGTATTGGAAATAGCCACGAACCCGTTTTATACTGCCTCAACGAAGTATTCTGTTGTATCTTTTCAGCGTTCTGACACTGGCATTCATTCGCGATCCCCAGTTTGGTCGAATTGCGCAGGGAAAACAGCCAAACCAAATTTCAAAATGCCTAGTTAAATAGCCTATCCCTTTGAACGTACCTCCTATTAGTTTCTAGGGCCAATCTAATCAAAGCCTTCCGTGAAGCTCAAACTGATGTGAAGTTGTTTGACCGCGTAATTTCCCGCTACCTCTGTTCTTTGTTCGGTTGATTCTCCGATTAGACCAGAAAACGGTGTGATCTCTGATGTCTGTAGTGATTGCCGGAAAACACTGGAGTTAGTGAATCAGCACAACGCCGAGCATTGCATGCCAGCGGTTTCAGTTCCCTCTTCCGTCAGTTTCTGACCACGCGTTCACTCGAAGCCAGATTCAGCTTACTCAGTAGTTTCTCATATTGGACAGCTATGCGATTTGCAAAAGGCATCATACATATCCAGGTCAGTGTTCTGGGGTCGTGTAGTGAGAGCGCTTCCACGTCATGGCTAATGTTTTACCCTCATGCGTTGTGCTGTATACGTGTACGCATGCACGAGCGCGTGCAGACAACGACTTTCTGACTTGTTTAATTAGCTCCTATTTGTTTCTCGGTCGGTCCGAAAGCCAATAGGCCGTGTGGATATTTTTGTACCGTCCTAACGGACGTGATCCGATTCGTTGACACGTGTTTATGTTATATTTGTTTATACCGTGGCTTCGTTTTGACCTGGTCAACCTATTTGGCTAGTCTGTCACCCGATCAGACCCACGGTGTAGATTCAGTGATTAGATGTTCGTGCTCGGGGATTGTCTTTCTGACTGGACCAGAACCGTCAACAAGCACACCGCCCTTTGTGGTGCTCACACGTTGCCTTTAGCACTCAGCGAAATGTGTTGAGCTTTTGTCGAATGCGGTACAAACTCCTGTGTTATCCATAGGGACTGTTGGCTGTCCATCAAACGTGTGTCCTATCGTATAAGGATGTTTGTCCGGGGGATTGTGTTTCATAGGGCGCATCAGTTCGCTTGTGATTCCTGATTGGAAGCCAACCGTATCTGTCTCGCATGATCGCTTCGGGGTTTTTTCTCTCCCTCTACTTCACATGTTGTGATGTGTCACACATTCACTTTGTATGTTTTTTTCTGTCGTCCTCGATTAGGTGCGGTGAATGTGAACGAACAACGTGATCTGTTTTGAATCATTTGATTATGTGTTTGTCATTATTATTATTATTATTAACATCATCATGGTACAGCGAAATAGGGCGGAGTGTACGCTGCTAAGCTTATCAGCTAAATAAGCTTGTGTAAGATGGACACAGGTATT